CCCCCTCCTTTTCCCTGCGCTGTAGGAGAGCTATGCAAACAAAGCAGATTCCCAGGAGATATAGGTGTTAGGGGTGTAGATCTATATTATTACATGACTACTAAGACCATGCAGTATAAACATTTTATATATAGGCTTATTGGATCATCCTTTTTCTTGAACGTAAACGTCATGCAGATATGGAAAGCACGTCTTGCTAAGGCCTGGTTCACACCTAGGCGTTTTTGAGCAGTTCGAAAAGCGCTTTTACCTGCCCAACACAAAAAAATCCCAGGATTTTCAATGGCCCTGGTTCACACCTGAGCAGAAAAACGCCAAACGCCTGAAAAAGGTACAGGAGCTTCCTTGGGCAGTTAAAAGTGCTTTTTTTCCCCATAGACTTCATTGGAAATGCCCAAAAACATGCAACAGAAGCACATTGCACATTTTCGTGAGCGTTTTCGCGCGTTTAAAGGCCCTTTCTTCCATTGCCTACAATGGTTTATGAGCTGCCAATCAAAACGCGCGTTTTCATGAAACTCATTAACACGCGCATGCAAATGTGCACAACACGCATTAACGCGCAAATAACCGCATGCTGCTAAAGCGCGTAAAAACTCGCAAAAACTCGCAAAAACAGTGGCGCCTAGGTGTGAACGAGGGCTTAAAGCAGAACTATGGGGTTAAGGCTTTTCCCCATAGTTCTCCTTAGGGTAACGGAGGACACAAATTAGCGTCCTCCCGTCACCCTAGGCTCAGTATACCGCGAGCTGCAGCTCACGGTATACTGAGACGCTGCAGTATACCGCAAGCTGATGCTCACGGTATACTGAGGCGCCGCAGCTGAAGCGGATCCCGACAATTGTGCCGGGATCCGCCCAGCTGCGTGACTGACAGCTGGCTCTGCCTATCTAGAGGCAGAGCCAGCTGTACCCGCCCCGTTCCGGCAGTCAGCGCTGGCGGATTGGAGCGGGGAGGGGGGAATCCAGCCCCTCCCCTGTCACGGCACAGAGCCGTGACAGGATAGAGAGGTGAGCGAACGCCGGTATGTGTTCGCTCACCTCCCGATCTACTGAGCCAACCTGTGACAGTCTCATTGTCACAGGTCAGCTAGAACTATAAGGTGAGTGAAACCTTAAGTTCTCCTTTAATAACAAAAAACCTCTAAATTTGTTTTCATTAAAAAAGTCATAAAAGTACCAAGTTCTTCTTTATATTAGCTTCCCCTAAAGTGTATGTACCCAACAAGGAATTTCTCTTACTTGGTACTTTATAAAATCAACAATAAAGGCATTTTGTTATATGTGTTTGATAAAACAAAATACCTGCTGATCTGGCAGAAATCCAGTGTGCTCTTAATTTTCTGTATGATCCGGCTACACTTAAATTCCCGAGAATTGTCATCAGCCCTGCCCAGGTTTCCGCTTAAAAGAGGAACTTCACCAATCAAATAATGTCTCCCAAAACGGTTACTTTAAAAGGCATGCCAACTGCCAAGGTTGCCAGTGTGCTTATTTAAGCTCTCAACCAAACTTTCAAGGCCTCAAATGGCTGGTGTAACAACTGATCACATGTGCAGCACCATGGCAACTGCAATCCAAATAGAGGCCAAGATGGCACCTTTCTTGGCTGTAAGCGATAGGAGGCTGTAGGCCTGCTTTAGGTACAGAAACCATGCCCCCCACCCCATTCATATTATAAAGATGAGGAGAGTGGAATCTGTTCTGTAGTACAAATTAAGTATGACAAAACTGTTCCTACATAGCTACAACACAATAAGCATTGCCACTGGCAGGTTCACCAGATAAAAAATAAAGGGAAAGAACCCTAAAAAGGGGAGATTATTGCAGTCATTACACTTTAAGCTCACCATACATGCTACAATTAGGGTATGCACCGATACAGTTTTTGCAAGGGCCTGCTTCATTAGATACAAACTGATTGGATAGATTTACGCAGCTCTGAAAGTGATATTAAAGCCTAGTTTTTTTTAGATCTAGGATGCCTACCTTTTTATAAATCTTCTGTTCTTTTTCTTTAAAAATTATTTGTTCCTCGTTTTCTATGGGGTCAGCGCTCATAACCCCGCATGGGTGCCGCCAACAGCTAAGCAGCTGCTGTGGAAGCACCCGTGCGTGCTTGTGCCCGCAGTAGCTGTGGGCGTCCATAGACACACACATAGCCCTGTGGCAGACCAGGTCCCTTCCCTCCTCCCTAAAGGGTGGTTAGCTCCCCTCCTCTCAGTATTCTCCCCCCGCAACCAGATAATTCAGGGAAACAGAAGATCGCTTTGGGTACTTGCGGCAGTGACAAGTGTGGGGGGGGGAGAGGGGGAAGGGAACATAAAAAGCTACTGGTCGTTTATCTCAATGAGATATCTCAAAAAGCTACTGGTCGTTTATCTCCTTTTATACTACTTTAACATACTGCACATTCACATCAGTCCCTGTCATCAAGGTATATACAATCTAAGGTATGGTAAGACTTCATATTACAAAGTTTGGGTAAAGTGAAAGTTGATTGTTCAAAGAACATATGGTCAACATGCATGGTAAGCTTAAAAGGGACACTAAACTCAGGAATTAAAACTTGAAAATGCATTTAAGTACCTTAATTATTAACAAAAATTTATCTTATGTGTATATAACTCAGCTGTAGATCCTCAAATCATCTCTGAATTGGTGCTGACACTGTCCTTGCTTCTGGGGGGCGGCTATTTTTGTTCCCTATGGTCCCTGTGTGCTGTAAAAGTAGCCACCGCTCCAAGCTCAGCCCTGTGATGGACAATCTCAATACAAATTGGTAAACTAAACGTGACGTTGTACTCCATCACAGGAGTGAGCTTGGAGTGGTGACTACTTTACAACCCACACAGGGAACATGGGGGAAAAAAAGTAGACCCCTCCAGAAGGAAGGACAGTGTCAGCACCAGTTCAGAGATGCGATGTGTTGGAACATCAGACGCCCCCTACAAAACTCACATTAGTGTGCACACTCTATAAAGAACATAAAATGGGCTGGTGTGACCGCGCCCTTATAGTTAAGGAATGCAGTGGTGTACCATATCTTCACCCCTAGCATTATAACTGGACAGTAAAAGCGCAGCTGAAGACTGATGAATACCTATGCTAACTCTTCTCCCACCAGCATGTTAGACGTCAGTACATCTGCATGCAGCACACCTGATTAGCTCCAAGTCCTGCTTTTCCCTCTCCTAGTTTTAGCCCTGTTGTTCAGGGGATAGCAAGAGGCTGATACCGGGTCAAAATCAGGTAATTACACTGTTGGCATTTAACTAATCTACATTTAATGATTTATTAATTAATATAAATACCTAGTTGCACTCATTTGTGTTTAAATCTGTCTGAAGTTCAACTTTAAAGAAAAGCTAACAGAACAGAAAATACTTTTCTTTTAAGAGGAGGCTAGCAACAAATGTTTCTCATGACACGTTTCCTTTAATACCATTCAACCCAGTGCTTGTTTATTTCAATAAAAAAAACAAGGGAGCAATACACGGCTCCAATCCCATCCCTAAATGGGCTGAGATGCAAGCCGTGGGTGGCCCTCTGTGACTCGACATGATTGAAAAATCGAAGCAGCCGGTTGAAAGATTGACGACAACTACTCAACCCAAACAGATGTCTCTGTTCGGGTATTCTGACAGCCGCGGGTGCCAGAACTTCTGAATACAAGCCCTCACGGGCAGGGCCCTCCTTACCATCTTGTCTTGAAGTGTATTGTGATTGTAATGTCTTCCTTATATTGTAAAGCGCTGCACAAACTGTTGGCGCTATATAAATCCTGAATAATAATAATACTACTACTACTACTACAATAGCTGGCAGGGAAGATTCCCCCATCCAAAATGTTTAGCAGTACAAGAGAAATCTAAGCGTGTATGGTTAGCATAACTTAAAACTTGGGATGCACCGATACTTGGCATTTTCACGAGAACAACCAGGGTTGCAGCTGTGACCTGGCTCTGGCGCTCCACCACTGTCCTGAAATCATTAGTCTGTATTGTTTTAGGAAAACTGTCACATGACAATAAACAAAAATGTATCAGTACTTGTATCTGTGAGTACTTGACATTATAACAGGGATAAATAAATCCCAGGAGCTCCGTGTGTTCCTTACAAATGACAGCTGCCTCCTAACTTCTGAATTTTTCTCTAGTCTAAAAACTATCTGTACTTGGTATTGGTGCATCCCTACGTAAAACCATCAATGCTTGTTAATTGTCACTACAAGAACTGAAAATCAACATAATGTGCAGAGTTTGGTGTAATATGTCACCCAATCAATTACCCTCTTGTATGTCACTTGACTAAAGTAAGTGGACGTCTGTTTAATATGGCTGACAAAACTTTGCACATGTTCTTATCTGTCTGAATAAAAGCCCAACAGGGAGCAGAATAAAAATAAAATAAAATGCATTAAAGGAAAATATAACCTTGTGATCTGCCAGCAAAGATAACAACTTTAAAATCTATTTTCTATATATATCATGCACATGTATTTACCATGAACTTCCGTAATTGCGTACAATTTACATGTAAAATATGCAAAACAAAATGCGACCACAAAAGGATTATTTTAGCTTGCGTTCACTCTTTCGCTTTGAAAAAGTAGCAATCACAGTTTAC